TGTGTGTGTGTGTGTGTGTGTGTGTGTGTGTGTGTGTGTGTGTGTGTGTGTGTGCGTGCGTGTGTGTGTGTGTGTGTGTGTGTCCTGGTAGGTTGAGCGGTAGTGAACCATCGTCTCAGCCGAAATATACTTATGAATGCCTGCGTTCTTACACGCCCAAATGCTGCAATAAATATACAAAGCTCAGCTAGTAAAAATCAAAGCCTAGCTAGTAAAGCCTATGCACATAATACTAGATCTATCAGACACAGTTGCATAATCATATAGGTAGTTCCACAACTGCAATGAAGGAAAGTTGTACAGAACCAAAAATCAACGGCAGAAATTATACAACACATCAGCCTACTTGAATGGTGTCGCCTAGCAACCATACCATCAGGATATTCTCTGTGCTAACGAATCCAGCCAGGAACAGCACACGTTGCTCCTCCGTATACGAAGCAGGGATGGACGGCAATGGAATGGCCACCAGTCTCTCCTTGGCCGCTGCCTGTGAATGGATTGGCATGTGGATGGGTGGACATCGTAGTGGAAGCGTAGCTGGTATAAATTTCGGCACTTGCTGACGGTCATCATGAAGATATCCTATGCGATGCATCGGTTGAACTGTCAAACCCCAAACCCCAGCGTATACTCGCTCCTTTGCTATGCAAAGCTTATTAGCATATCAATTGGCATCTAGTACGTCATACCTTAAGACGATATCCACCACATCTGCAGTACACGCCAGGCTGTGTCCGTATAATAAATACTCGTACCTCAAATGCCACACTTGAACACCATATTGGAATGAAGGTTTTGACTTACGTAGCTGAAAAGGCGCTCAGGATAATACTCCAATACTGCATCGGGTGCTGCTTGTGAAAGGACATATCATTAGGTGATGTCATACAGCTGCGGGATGTTAAATTGTGTTATATTTGGTCTTTGACTTGTTCATAAAATATTTGATAGTATCACAAATGCACTATCACGTTTTTAGGCATACATACAAATATATTCCCCGAATAAATGTCGAATCTTGAATAATATTCGCAAGTTGGTAAAACACACTATATATTTGTGCTGGGTTTGCTTATAGTTTTATTCGAACGCGCCCTTGATCTTGTATAGATTACAGTTTGAATGTCGCGTGCGCGTGCTCTGAACTATACACTCGGGACTGTTAATCGTGCATCGAAATTTAAGTGCAGCGAAGTATGGACACGGACACAAAGAAACGTGTACGTATATACAATACTAGTCGTTCAAAGCCGTAATATATTAAGACGAAGTGTACATGCGCATGCAATAGGTCGCACACGACGGAAAATATAATACGTAACGTGTACACCTGTAAATTGAAAGAATCACACGTTAATATGTAGATGAGTATGTAGATGGGTAGATCAGCATATTCATGACTATATCCACTTTCACTTGTCTTTTCGTACTGGATTAGCGTTCTCTGTGATTTGTATATATATGTAGATATCTATATATATTATATATATATATGCATATATA